TATATATATGTGTGTATATATGTCGATATATGTATGGGTATATGTAAATGTGTTTGTATGTATCTATATGTGAATGTGTGTATGCATGAGTATATACATACACACACACATATATATATGTGTGTGTATATGTGAATATATGTATGTGTAGGTCTGTATGTATGTATGTGTGTGTATACATACACATATATGTGTGTATATGTGAATATATGTATATGTAAATGTGTATGTATGTGTGTGTGTATATCTATATGTCAATGTGTGTATATATGAGTATATACATACACATATATATATATATATGTGTGTATATGTGAGTATATGTATATATATGGATATGTATGTGTATGTGTGTATGTGTACGGATATGTGTGTATGTGTATATTTATGGATACATAGAATATTATAAAAGAAGGACTTACAGTCCTGTTATTAGTGTTTTATCTCATTTTCTCTTTTAATTTTCTCCAATTTGAGGTGTGAGTTTAAAATACTTTATAATAGGGAGGATTTTTTTTTTTAAATTGATAATTTAATTTAAATTGAAATATATTACCCTTTAATAATCATTATTTATGATAAAATATTTAAATTGGAAAATTTTTTGATATTTAGGTAGATGTTAATACATGAAGTTACCTGTATATTTCGGCACATGGGTACCTGTATGAGTGATTGAATATGTAAAGGAACGTGTGTATATGTGATATTTGCATGGGTGTGTATACAGTATATGACAGAGCAAGATCTTTAATATTACCTTCAAATATTACTCCATACTAACTTAACTAAAATTTAAGTAAAAGAGATTACCTATCTAGAAACAGTCACGAGTTAAATTCATGAACAAAATTCAAACGGATAGAGATGTCAACTTAATCAATAAAAAAAAAATTTATAAGTCTTTAAAAAAGATTACTAGAAGTAAAGTTATATTTTAAAATAAAATTTTGTACTTTCTATGAATATTTTTCTAATCGACTATTTCATAGAAAATCCCCAAAATTTTAAAAAAAAATTTAAATCACTAACAAACATCAAATTAAATTATTTGTAGACAGTCTAGAGACATTCCAATTTATATCAAACATTATAATCTTTATGAACCCCCAAAATAACACTTTCAAAGTAAAGCAAAATAACAGCGTCTGTTTCTAGCCATTTTTTTTACAAAGAAAATTAGTGACATCTTCTCTTCTCTCTCTTAACTTCCTTCTCTCTGTTTCGCTCTATGAATTTTTTCTTCTCTACCCCTTCGATTTCAATATATAACTTCCGTTAAGTTAACCGTTTAAATGTGTCAATGTCTGCTAACTCACTCATGTCTTCTCTCTCTCCCCACCCTCACTTCCTCATTTCGTTAATTTACATATGTTTAATACGGCCTGTCAAAAATGTGTAAATTTTCTTTTCATTTTTTGTTTGAAAGTAAAGTCTGATGATACGCAGTCCTTTTAAAAGGGCTATGGTGAAATAATTTATTACATGGAACCTTAAGGGGTCTGTTTTTATTTAATATATATATATATATATATATATATATATATATATATATATATATATATATATATACATACAGTAGCGTCCAAAACTAAGGGACAAAATTTCAAAACCTAATATTTGTTAGAAATAACAACTGTGAAAAGCTGAAATTTTGACAACTGGTAGTCGTTATCATCCATAATAACATACTATAACATATAAATAAATAATTGTTATAATTCTTTTTCTATCCTTTGCAAATGATTCAACTTTTAGTATGTTATTATGGATGATAACGACTACCAGTTGTCAAAATTTCAGCTTTTCACAGTTGTTATTTCTAACAAATATTAGGTTTTAAAATTTGTCCCTTAGTTTTGGACGCTACTGTATATATATATATATATATATATATATATATATATATATATTCGTTATTCCTTTCCTTGATAAAGTAAAAACTTCCGAATCGTTAAGAAGTATAACGGCATAGTTTTCTTTACTTCTTTCTCAATTTACTTCTTCATCTTAATAATAGTCTTTCTTTTTTTTTCTTTTCAAATCCTTATGAAATTGTTTTCGTACATCCAGATTTTTCGTTGTCGTAGGACTTTTTTAATCGGTATCACCCCATGCAAGGCAGTAAAGCCACTAAGACATAAGGGGTAACAGTGTGTAGAAGAATTAAGAACAGAAACATTCATAATGAACAGGAAGAGGAAAGAGTAATCAGGAGGACAGCAAGTTTACAGCAATGGGAAAGTGACTAAAGTCGAGCCGCCAGATCAGGAATGATATTATGATTGATTCTTCCTTGGATTTTATCAAGGAGCTCAAGGCATATAGAAAGGACACCGGACCATATGTGGCAGCAATATTCTAAGTATGGACGAATGGGAGACTTATAGATATGTAAGATAGCGACACAGTGAACCAGATTTCTTAGCAGATGACGGGGCAAAACCAAAAACACGGAAGTCGGAAGCAATACATATGAGAGAACTTTCTTATTTTTGAGAACACCAATGATTTTTTTCTTGTCTTATTACGACAGTCGGCAGAATAGGAAAGTTTGATTTTATCATGGAGACACGAACAAATACATAAAGATTTCATTTAGAAATATAGTTGTTGAAACAAAAGTTCTTACCTTATTCAGGTGGTTACGTTTGAACACGCTACTTCGCTTCACATGTGAATAAAATTTATGATAAGTATACATTAAAACGCATCGTTTTTTTTTCATATACTATATAAAAAATGAAACATTTTCAGCGCCATGTGATTTTCCTTTGTTTGATTTCATTGCATGGCTGACACGCTATACCCAAAACCAAAAACACGGAAGTCGGAAGCAATACATATGAGAGAACTTTCTTATTTTTGAGAACACCGATGATTTTTCTTGTCTTATTACGACAGTCGGCAGAATAGGAAAGTTTGATTTTATCATGGAGACACGAACAAATACATAAAGATTTCATTTAGAAATATAGTTGTTGAAACAAAAGTTCTTACCTTATTCAGGTGGTTACGTTTGAACACGCTACTTCGCTTCACATGTGAATAAAATTTATGATAAGTATACCTTTTATGATAAGTATACCCTATTCCCAATAGGTTACTGACCAGTCACGATATTACTTAACTTCGGTGATCTTGCGGAGCCGGTGTTTTAATGTGATGTGCCTGGAAGCCATATTCATATTGAAATAATTCTATATTATTCATGCCAAGAGTTAGAACTAGTCATCCATTTTTTTTAATCGTTTTCACCCCAAGCAAGGCAGTAAAGTGACTAACACACATGGGATTACCGGGTGTGAAAGAATTAGGAACAGATACATTAATAATGAGCGGGAAGAGGGAAGAGTAATCAGGAGGACAGTAGATAGCGATTGACATTGCATTTAAATTTTTTCAGATTAATGTTGGCTGGAAAGCATGGAGCCGAAAAGGAGTGCCAGAAGCGAGATGTGCGAGAATAGAAACTGTTAGTACAGAATTTACGGTTACATCTAGCCAGCTCGATTGTCTAGTACTGCGCTTAAATTCAAAGAGTCGAGATACCATAGCGAAGATCTGACTCAAACAATTAACATGAAAAACAGAAAGAAAAACAGATATGCAATCTTATGGCGATGGGAAAGTGACTGAAGCCGAGCTGCCAGATCAGGAACAATAATATTTCCGATTCTGCTTTGGATTTTATTAAGAATCTCAAGGTATATAGCAGTGACATCGGACCATATGTGACAGCAACATTCTAAACATGGACGAATAGTAGACTTATAGATTGTTATTAGAGACTACCATTTAAATGGTGCAAGATTTGTATCTACCTATAATGCCATTGTATTCAAAATAAACAAAAATAGAATAAAAAATTTAGCACACACACCTTTTCTATGTTTCAGATCCTTGCAATGAAGTTCTCCGGATTTTGATATAATACTAAGCGAAGCATAAGCTTTGTCAACTTTGTAAGAAAAGTGATCTCGTTTTTAAAGATTGGGGGCATTCATTAAAATTCCTGTACGTCCAGGACTTCAAAACATTACTGAAATCTTTACGCTACATAACTAAATAATAATCAGAGGACACGCTAGCCGGAACATTCGATCGATACAGGCTGTAAAGAGAAGATTAAGCAGAGTCGTTTGGTGATTTCTTTAATTACTCGCGTGTCTCGTAATGATAGTGTTGTTTGCATGCTTTGCTAAACCTTGCATCTCTGGACAGGACGCCATAAGGTCATAGTTTGAAAACAGCGTGCATACTCAAAAGCGCTACAACTGGATGACAGCAAATGTACACTCAGAAAACGCATTGAATATATAAATACTAGTTTCCTTGTAACATGATGGTTATAATTCAGTAACTTGCAATTATACTAGTTCTACCTTTTGACATGAATAATATAGAATTATTTCAATATGAATATGGCTTCCAGGCACATTACATTAAAACGCCGGCCCCGCATGATCACCGAAGTTAAGCAATGTCGAGACTGGTCAGTAACCTATTGGGAATACCTGATGTTGTAGGCTTGGATATACAGGTGGTGAATGAATAACGTCTCAAAATTGTTAATGAAGGAAACTATAGGAATAATATAGAGTTATTTTAATATAAATAATGCTTTCATCCACATCAAATTGAATCACCGAAGTTAAGCAATGTAGAGCTTAGCTTGTAACTAGATGGATGTACAAGTGGTGTAATGGATAGTGGCTCAGAATTCTTAATCAGGAGGTTTGTAGGAATAATATAGAATTATTCCAATATAAATAAGGCTTAGAGCCACATCACATTAAAACACCTGTTCCATACGATCATGGAAGTTAAACAACGTCGAACCTGGTCAATAACTTGATGGGTAACCAACTTGGGAATAACTGGTATAGAAGCTTTGATGTACATCTGTGTAAAGAATAATGGCTCAGATAATCGGGTAGCCTGTAGGAATAATATAGAATTATTTCAACCTAAATAAGGATTTCAGCCACATCACATTGAAGTACCGATTAAGCAACCCGTAAGATCACCGAAGTTAAGCAAGGTAGAGCCTTGTCAGTACCTAGATGGGTAACCGCTTTGGAATACCTGGTTTACAGGTTGACTAATGCAGAGTGTCCTAGAATTGTAAATCAGAGAGCCTGTAGGAATTATATAGAATTATTTCAATGTAAATAAGATTTTCAGCCACATCACAGTACAACACTGGTTCCCGTACGATCACCGAAGTTAAGCAATTTCGAACCTGATCAGAGTCTTAATGAGTGAACGATTGGGAAGGAAACAGGTGCAGTGAGGTTGGGGTCATGGATAAAGACTCCGAATTGTTTTTCGGAGAGCCGAGTTCCAATTCCCGTTGGTTTCATTATATTCACTTACGCGAAATAATCTTGAGATAGTCATTACGTCTTCTCCCCTATATATGGATTAATTAGTAAAACTTGTATCACTAAACGATTTTAATTATGGAAAGAAATTCTTTTTATTTTTTTTTTTTTACAATGAGAATCATTCTTACAAGGCCCGGGGGGCTTCTCGAGGTAAAGGGTTATGTTAAGAGGCCATTTTGAATGGAGATAACAATTAAACCAAGCCTTGAATAGGTTAACATTGTAGTGATTGGGAGTCGATTTCACAGGAGAATGGCTCGCGAGAAGAATCTGCTTGAATGGAACTTACTTCTGACCGATGAAATATGGCGAGAATGTGGGTGGTTTCCTACTATGTAAGTTGCATGGCTGTGAAGGCTTACCTTGGAGAGACCAAGGAATGTAGTTAGTCCGAGCACTTTCCATAGAAGTAGCGGTAGAGCAGCATGAGTCTTGCCACATCCCGCCTGGGTTGAAGTGTCGGGAATAATTCGTCACTCACAAGTGTTCGGAGACCCTTTTGAACTCTACGAAGATTGATGAGTGAGGTCTTGGCAGCTCCTGTCCACATATGACAACAGTATTCCATTTATGGCCTGATCTGGCTCTTGTAAAGTTAGAGAATAGAAGGCGAAGTCGGGTACTTACAGGAGCGGTACAGAGAGCCGATCATTTAACCTGCATTCTTATCAATGGATCGTGTGTACGAGTTCCACTTGAGGTCGGTTGTGAGTATGAAACCCAACAGTCTTTCAAGGCACAGTGCTTCCCAGAGAGGAAGTACGTTCATCTTGATTGGTGGTAGTTTAGGGTCAGATCGAAGATAATGGAACGTAACTTGTTTAGTCATCTAGGTATTAAATGTAACCAGCCAGTTTTTACCCCATTGGGTATTTTGTACATGATCGGGAGAATGATCAGGCGCCAGTCTTTTGCCATCGAGAGTTTTAGAGACGCGTCAGTACATAGTCATGCCGTCGACATAGATATTTTACGAATGATCTGAGTATATCCTTAGGCAGATTATTTATATAAATCAAAAGAGGGTTGGTTCAATGTTGGTTCAATGAGTGACTCTTGTGGGACGCCTGTGTTGACCACAAGAGCACCGGAGAACTGGTCATTAATAACGTCTTACAAACTAAAAATATTTTCTGGATTTAAATAACTTTTAAAAGGTTGAAAAACCGTAGCAAATGAATCAATCGATATAAATAACTTTATTGCTTCATGTAAAAAATACTTCTCTATAAATAATTAAAATAACATCGAATAAAATAGGAAACAAAAATGTATCACGAAATTTATTGTCCGCGGAATTATCCTTATTTACTTTATTTATACTCGAACTATTCTCTTTATATTTGTCATTATCATATTTCGGACGATGTACCCTCTAGCCCTCATCAGGTGCTTGCCAATACAGTTAATCTAGAACAGAAATAAATACGATACGGCAACCATTAATAAATAAAGTCAGAGAAATGACAGCAAAGCCACAACAGCAATAGAAATAAAAGAAGCCTTCGTGAATGAAGACAGACATGATAAGCAGTAACTGTATCATCAGTTCACAAATTAGTTAAGGGCACCAAGTTCTACATCCAGGATTGCGAATAGCCTAGTGGATTAAAGCAATTGTTCGTGAATAGGGTGCAATAGTAACTGTCAATTCAATCCCTGGGCCGGGTAGAGCAGACTTAGACAGTGAAAACAAGGCGAGCAATAACTGAGCAGTACTAAAATAAGAATTACAGACAAGGTATCCCCAGACATGATCAGTGGAACGAGAACAATCCCCACCCCCGTACTTTAAATTAGATTTCTGTTCTAAATTCCCTGATGGTTCACCGGTTAGACAAGCACCTGATGAAGGCCGGGGAGCACGAGGGCCTAAATATTGTTATAATAACAACTAAAACTCAAAAGCGAAAAACAATGTATTGGCACTTTAATCTCTCATATTATAGTTCTATTATGGTAACACGATGTATGTTTGTTTAGTTAGTATGAAGCTCTGTCTTATGTATCTATAACAATGGTATATCTCAGTAAGCTGCTTGACCGATAAACATAGAAAGTCGCGTTATATTTCATATTGGAGAATAGATTTTCTAAATTTAATTTACCCTTAGAGAAGGCCACAAGAGTGAGGCACCCATAGTGTGCTAACTGAAATACTATATACTAGGGAAAATCAAAAATTATCTGCACTCTTGTTTAATATCTTATGGTCAGATTTCAGATCATTTTTGACTTACCTTCGTATATAAACATTTTACTTATTTATTAGGTGTTACCTTAAAAAAGAATATGTGTTAGATGTGTGAAAAAGTTTCTAGCCATCCATTATTATTATTATTATTATTATTATTATTAGAAGAAGAAGAAGAAGAAGAAGAAGGATAGACAGAAGAAGAAGCAGAAGGAGGGACAGAAGAAGAAGAACAAGAAGAAGAACAACAACAACAGCAACCACAACAGCAACAACAACAAGTTACTCTTTTATATATACTTATGATTTTTGAACAGACGGGACGATTATTTTTTACTGCATTTTATTTGTTTGTTTATTTATCTATTATATTTTTATCTATATATTTAGTGACGTAACCACCCCCCCGGACAACTTCATTGTAATCATTTTGTTCTTGCGTTCCCTTATTTGTTAGGTATGCTTGATATATTTGGGAAGGATATTAGAATAATCCAGAATTTATACTGGGAGATGATCCCATGTATACGAATAGAAAAGTAATTCCGTAAGTATATAAAAAGCAAAACGTGTGAAAGACAAGGATGAGTCCTTTCACCAGATTTATTCAAACTTTACAGAGGCGTGATTCTGAGAGAATTAGAATACCTTCAAGGATACATAACCGACGGCCAGAATCTTAACAATATTAGATATAGATATGATACAGTGTAGATAGAAGACAGAAAGGGGGAAGCTACAGGAAATCCTAGAGAACGTGGTAAAGGAAAGCTAGAAGAAAGGACTAAGCACCAATAGTAAGAAGACATAACATACTGTCATTAGCAAAATAAACAGTTCAAAATGTAAATTACAAATTAGGGACATCAAAATCAAGAAAGTCCAAAAATTTAAATATGAAATGTTCTGACAGAGGACGGAAAATGCGACACCGATATCTGAAGGTGCATTGCGAGGAAAGACATGTAACCATCATTTATCTCCCCATCTATGAGTTAAACAGCAGGGTAGGCTGCGTTTTCTTATTATATATCAAGCATGGCTAACAATTCTCTTGATTTCTGTGGTAGTCATTCTTGGAGGAGGACAACTCTGAATTCAAAATCCACAGAATTTTTGAAAAAACGAGCCGTCTTTTATGAGCAAGTAATCTTGGTACTTCAATGATAATAAAGAAAATGAATCTACGTGGTATTAAAAATATTGTGATACGAGGTTGGGCTGAAAAGTTAATTGACTAACTGTGAAGGGATGATCCTAGAGCTGGGAAATCTTGCATACATTAACTGCAGCTCTTCTTATTAATAAATACACTGTTCACCACATGGATGACAGCCGATTGACTATTAGTATATTCCGTGAGAAATTTGGGAATATTCTGCACAATGAACTTTGCATGACGAAGGTTTCTGCTCGGTCGGTCCGACATTTACTGTTACCTTATACAAAGCACACTAGACTGACCACATCACAGGAAATCTGACATTGCGGTAGATCCAGTCTGTTCATTATCTATCTATCTATCTATCTATCTATCTATCTATCTATCTATCTATCTATCTCTCAAACTTCCGTCCGAGGGTGGGCTGAAAAGTTTATACGCTGACTGTGAAGGAGCTGGGAAATCTTGCATACATTAACTGCAGCTCTTCTTATTCATAACTGCACTGTGTCTTTCCAGACATCTGACTGTTCAAAGAAGACTTCAAACGTAACTAGTAGTGACTCCGCTTGAAAATGAACAAAATTTGGCATCGAGGTGTCATCAGTTACTTGCAGAAAAAGGGTTCAGTTTCAAGGATATTCATGTTGATATGACTGCTATATTAAGGGGTGACGCTTCAGCTTTATCATCAGTGCAAAAGTGCAAAGTTCAAGATAGGTGAGAAAGGGAGAGTTTTGAATCAGACCGAAAAGTCTGGACGTCCTGTAACTGCTACCACCGAGAAAAACATTGATCCTGTTCACCACATGGATGACAGCCGATTGACTATTCGTATATGCCGTAAGAAAGTTGGGAATATTCTGCACAATGAACTTTGAATGACGAAAGTTTCTACTCGGTGGGCGCCATGTTTTCTGACACATGATCAAAAGCGCCCCAGTCTGGTCATACAACGGGAAAATCTAACATTTTTTTGAGTCAGATTCGGCTGATTTTGTAAAACGTTTCCTAACGCAGGTTGAATGTTGCGTTCATCACTTTGAGCCAGAGACAAAGAGATAATTCACCTGCTCCAAAGTAGGCGAAAGTTGTTTCAGCTGCAGAATATATATTGTGTTTAAGTCTGAAGCAAAGATACATGTGCATTTTAAGTCATATTCGCGAAGCATCGTTTGCTAAATAAATTCAATGTCAACAGCGATATGTGGTTGTCAACTACTTAACACGCATATAGTACACAATCGACTAGCATGACATTGTTTCACTGTTTCCTGTAACACTTTATCTAAGGAGGTCACTGGAAAGTTATCAGCCAGAACAAAAGGGGATTCAAAGTCAAATTTT